GCAATCACTGCCTGCTCATCTCCTGCAAAGCAACTTGGTGGGCAGAAGTATATTTCCAAAGCAAAGAAAGGTAGTTGTGAAATCACATAAGGAAGTGGTCAAGTCCATGTGATCAAACAAGCAGTTTTCTGCTTATCTTTCAGTCACCCGAGGCTGCAGTGGGCACCTGATGTTGCCCCTTTAGCTGAGGTTTCCTTTGCAGTCAGATCTGCTACGTTGTGGCATGACACTTGCAATATTGATTGAAAAGCATCTACTTCAGTTTGAGAAGCTCATCAGTTAATCCCTCCCTGAAAAATTCTCGTCAGTAGTCCAAAATCATATGATACAGTGTATCAACTGTTTGTAGGTACATAGCTCTATATATTCATATCCCTCTGTGCCCCCCAAAAAGATGAATTTTCCTTATTCCACATTTTTATGAACCTTGAGAAGCATATGTTCATATTTGGTGCTACCATGATGAAATTCTGATTACAATACTATGTTACTGTTTTGTTAGTAATAAGGTCTCTGGCCTCATTATTCTGCTAAAAGATGTACATATTCTGTGTTGTGGAAATAGTTTTATCCATTTTTAATTACCCTTTGACTTGCAGGTACGGCATGAATTGTCTGATCCAGTTTGAAGATTTTGCTAATGCTAATGCTTTTCGTCTCCTCAATAAATATCGCAACAAATACTGTACATTTAATGATGATATTCAGGGTAAGTACATTTAAGAAAGTGCAAATTTAATCTTCTAATGAGGAAAGATGATTAAGATCACAAGACTGTTCATTATGCTGTACTCAGATGTGTGATAAACTTCAGAGTTTACATGTAATCATTTTAAACTATAAACAAAAGCACAGCAGTGCTTGAAAAGTCAGCCTCCACTGTTTCCAGTAATTTATCAGTTCATTGGAGCAGTGTTCTTCGAGACCGAAAATATATCACGTGCTTTAGATTATTAAGGTAATTTAGAGAGTTCCGTTAATTTCCTATAAACTAGCTAAGACAATACTGAATAATGCTGCCTTTTGACAATTGTGCAAGGTTTTTATGCCCCATGTGGTCATTAACTGATCCTGGCAATGGCCTCCTATTGTTATCCGTTCGATTTCATGGACAAATGATAAGGTAAACCAGATTTTTCCTCTCTTTGAATGCTAACTCTGGGGTAATCTGAGAACAGATACATTCTCCCCAAGAGTGGTTTACATAACTCCTCCAGTGCCAAAAAACAATGGCCCAGGCCAAGCTGGCATTAGAACCCAGCCTGTCTTCCAGGTCCTACGAGACTCAGTTTTCTGCAGACTTGCACGGAGGGAAGAAAGCTTCACATTGATGGCAGCCTGATCTTGCACTGACTTTGTTTTAAACCATTGGAAGCAAAGTTTGCCCATCCATTATGGACATGATCTTCTCAACTCATTAAAAATAACCCGTGCTTATTCTAGTAGTTCTTTTACCTTTCTTTTTTTTTTAGTGCTGCTTAGCATGTGCAGGAATTTCAGGAGTTTGTTGATTTAATAATATGCAGTCAGTATGGTCCATTCTCACTTGTACTTAAAAGAGGCTGAAACAAATACAAAATTCATTTTTCACACAGTTCTGGCTCATTGTGAGCAGTCTTTCCAGCAGTATTTCCTTATCTATTGTCCATCTAGTAATGTCTGGCCATGTTCTGCAACAGATTTTTCATATCTGTCTTGGCTCAAAACAAGTAAGACCCTAGCTTGTGGGACTATAGTTGGCGTGATGCATGATCCTACTTGAAGAAACTTTCATGAGAGGTTTTAGATGCAGAGGAGCTTAGGGCATTTCAGAGGTGAGATGTATGTTCCTGTAAAAGAAAACTTTTTATGTCTTCTTTCCAGAAAAAATTAACTTTGGTGAAGAGAGGAGCACACATAGGGACAATCCACATCCAGGATGTGGGCATGGCCATGCATTGCTATAGGATGGATCTTGGCTGCCTCTTCCCAGTTCATTGTGGTGCATAGCAGAGGTTGCATCCCCTGAGAACTCTGCAGAGTCTCTACCTGTTAAAACAACAGGGTTTTAGCTCTTACTAAACTTTCTCATCATCTCAGATAAAGCATCTAGCTAGCACTGTTTGCATGGTAGCAGATAAGGAGAGAAATCCCACTGATCTTCTGAGCAGACGTGTCATAAATCACAAGCCACTTTTTCCGGCTTTTTTATGTAACTATCAAAAAGAAAAGGGGATTCCAAGTCAAGTACATGTCATGAATGAGTATGGGGCATACTGGAAGCTGATGTAACTTGGATCTGCTTAGTTCACTCTGTCTTACAATCATGTCACAGTTTAATGGAGCCTAATTTGGGATGAGTAGCCTAGTTTACCCACCCCGATATATCCCTCTGTATCCCTGATGTATCCCCAGATTATATGAGAAAGGTAGAAGTGCCATTCGCTAACTTACACCCTCCTGTGCTTTGTTTTTCCTTCAGGCTCTCTCTTTCCTAACATGTTGCTTGTTTGTCATTTGCCCTGTTTGAAAAAGTTAGAGTGTTCAATGCATTATTAGTGGAAATTATACAAAAGCCCTGCGTAAACAGTCCCGAGCAGGAACAGAGCTCCAGAAGCCTCAACAATTCAGCTTCAGAGCTGGCATTGATTTATGGATATTGGTCTTAAAACAAATTTTAGGCAACAACTGTGCAAGCTAGGTCTGGCCTGAACTGCACTCAGTTAGACTTATTGCCCATTGCTTAGCAGGCCTGGGAAGGCAGGAGAGCCCACACTGAGTATAAAGTGCTCCACTTAATCTTCAGGCCTCCCTCTTGCTGCCCCACAAACGGAAAGGCCTTTTAAATACTAATGCCTCTTTTGTCACACAAATTACAATATCGCCAGATCTGCGCTACCCCAACAGAGTTGGAGTGACTCAGAGCCCTTCCGCTCGCAGGCAGCCCGCTGATGTGCAGCGGGACGCCTGCCAGGTACCACGAACCGGGGCGAAGCGATCGCGCTGCTTGTGAGGCTCGTGAGCCTGGGAGGCAGCGGGAAGCGGTTCCCAGCGCCCGCCGTGTGGGAGTTCCCCGTTCAGGGAGAGCTGCTGCTTCCTCGGGGGGTGACATCACTCCTTTCCCAGCGCTGTCTGGGTTCATGCAACGGGCAAGAGCTGCAGTTTCAGCTCCAAGGGAGGAAATTGGTTGTCACTTCTCCCAGCTTCCCAGTAAAACACCAGGGCAGTGCAGCAAATGTGAAACTGGAGGGATATGAGAATTCCTTTGATAGGTCTCTTCCTACTATCATTTTGCCCCACAGCTATACACAGTGATGAAAAGAAAGACAACTGAAAGGTCTTATAAAGGTGTAAACTCCTGTGAACTCCTGACACAGGCATCCTTGGATTCCCCTTTCATACAAGAAAATTCGTATAAGCAGAGATAGAATTTATGTTAGAAGGGACATCTGGATCACCTGGTCAACACCCTTTGCTCAAGGTAGAGTTAAGTTCCAAGTTAGATTCAGCTTTTACGTTAAATTAGGTTTCTGGGGCCTTTGTCCAACCAAGTAATTTTGAATATCAAGGGTGGAGAATCACAGCCTCTTTTGTCTTCATGTTTCAGTGTTTCCTAATCTTCCTTGTGATTTTGTTTTCTGAA